TTGAAAGGATACGAATACGTAAACAGTAAATATGAAACATCCCTTGCCGCCCAAAAAGCAATGACCCTGCTCTCAAAACGACAAAGACCAAAAACATATCATAATAATGGAAAATGTGCTATCAGTAAAGATGAATGCAATGTGTCCGTGTTGTGAGCACGACACCTTTGAATAAGATAATAAATACATGATGGTATGTGGGCTCAACAATTTTGCACGTTAAACACGTCAATACCAAGATCATATTTTTTACACCTCAATGTGAAACCGAAGCTGCTGTACAGAGCTGAGACGTGGAGAACCATTGCCACGAAAATCCAGACGCTCACCAACACTTGTCTCGGAAAGATTCTTCAAATGCATTGGCCAGACACTATCAGCAAGCAAGAACTCTTGCAGACTACACACACCAACGACTTATGGAAGAAGAAACCCTCAAAAGACGGTGAAGATGGATAAGTCATGCGCTCCGAAAACCAACAGCCTGCACCACAAGACAAGCCCGAAGCTGGAATCCGTAAGAAAAAGGGATTAGAGGCCGACAAAAAAAAATACAATGGCACGGTGCCGAGATGTGGAAGGGAGTAGCCTATAAGGTGTTTGGGGCATTCGTGGGGACATCTGGAGAAACCGGTCCAAGATCGAGCAGCAACTGCTACTGATGATGATGATGATGATGATGATGATGATGATGATGATGATGATGATGATGATGATGATGATGATGATGATGATGTACAAAAGAATTTTCAACTACCAATGGGCACTGAGTAAAATGATATTCCCGCGAGTATGCTTGATTTGCCAGTTCTTATATACGCTTAAAGGGACAAGAAGATGCAATTATTAAATAACACAAAAAGACTATTCATGGGGTCAAACTCAATCTATAGTTTGTAAATTATGTTTCATATTAAATGGTCTAATCTGCCTTAACCCTGCCTGCCAGCTCCGACCCAGGCTCATAGGGATACAGCATCATAACAGAAAGATAGAGCTGCTCGTTGGAATAATAATAATAATCTATTATAATAATATTCTCCTTGTCGCGACTATGATTGTGTGTGGTTTTTTCAGCATAATTCTTTCAAAAGCATCAACCAAAAGTATTGATGTTACACCAGGGATACTCAGTAAAATAAATCTTGTACCAGGGCCCGAACTCACATCTCTTATGTGCAATGAAGAAGAGTCAAACCGCTACCCCACGCCGGGGTCGAACTTGCGTAAAAGTGGTTAGGCTCTCGGACTCGCAGCCGTAAGGTCGTGGGTTCGAATCCCATCAAGGGCCCGACGTTGTGTCCTTGGGAAAGGCACTTTACACGAATTTTCCTCACTTCACCCAGGTGGGAATGGGTACCCGGCTATAGACAGCGAAAGATCTTGTCAGTTT